ACAAGGGAGTTTAGTGATTTCCACTTGAAAAGGCTTGGTTATTAAGTGGCTCCTTCTAGCTCACCTCCCTTGATAGTGTATGTTAGTCAAGTAGCCTCATATAACTTAAGAGAGGGGGGGGGGTGAATTAAGTTATCTTAATTTTCTTGTTTTTCAGTTTTTATAAATGCCTTCTAAAAATTTATTTACTCAAGCAACATGTATGTAGTGATAGAAAAATTACTCAACCACAATTAAATAACAAGTAAATAAAAGGGTAGGGAAGAAAAATTGAAAACTTGATTTTATACTGGTTTGACCAATCTTGCCTACATCCAGTCCTCAAGTCTCCTTGAGATTTCCATTATTCTTGTAGAACTTACAAGACTTGAATCATCCAATACCTTGGAATACCCTTTCCTAGTGTTGAGATTCAAAAACACCAAGGAGAACAACCCTTTCTCCTTCACAAATCAACTAATCAATTTGGAATTACAGAATAACTCTCCTTTTAAGAGTAGATATTACACCTTTAAGATCTTAATGAACCCTTTAGAATAATGCAAATGAATTCTGGCCAAAAAGGTTTTGTAAATGACTTTTTCACAATTGAGTTCGTAATCTATTTCTGAAAAATTATAGGTATTTATAAACAATTATTTCTTTGGTTATATCTTTTCATGATGAGTTGTAACTCTTTAAATTTTTTTAGAAAATATACTCTGGTAATCGATTACAATGGTTTTTAAGTTCAAAAATTGAAACGTTGTATCTTTTAAATTTCAAACTTTGAAATTTCCTCTTCTGGTAATCTATTACAAACTAGTAATCGATTACCAAAACACGTTTCATTATTTGAAATTTGAATTTTTGAAGTTTTCTTCTTCTGGTAATCGATTACATAGACTAGTAATTGATTACCAGACAGATATAACAAATTTGCTTTTGAAAACTTTATGATTTTAGTAGTTTTTTACTTTTTAGTCAAAATTATTTTTGTATAATCTTTTTGAACACAATTCTTTTTACTTTCTTTTTCTTATATTCAAAAAGACTAAATTTAGATTTTTTTGAAATCCTTATTTTAATGGCCAAGTAAAATTTACAATTTCTAAATGTTCATTTTACATATTAAGCTAAGTAGTCAAGACTTATCTAGTTATTACTTGAGATTTTGCTTCTTGATCAACTTGCTTTAACTTGACCTTTTGTTTTCAAAAATGCTTTGGCATCATCAAAACCTTATGTATATATTCTTCCATAGTGCAACTTGTATACTTAGACCTCCAAGTACTTAGTCTTGCACCAAAAAGAGAGAACCTTTTGTGAAAACCTTTATCACTCAATTTGAAAATTCTTTTGAAAATTTGTGAAAACCTTTCTTTTGCAAAAATGAGTGATCATTCTCATGATAGTAATGTGCATGGTCATCATACTCCTAGAAGTCATAGGAGTACTAAAGATGAACTTAAGGATCTTAAGGAATATATTAGGAAAAAAGAAATAAAAAATGAAAAAAATAATTAAACAATTAGAGAGTTGTTAAGCAGACTTGTGGTGGGAGGTGGATCTAGTAAACCCAAGGTCCATGAGGACCATGGGCCTTCTAGGCCCAAGAGGCATGATGGTGAACGGACTTCTAAGCCTTCTAGAGGAAAACATGAAGAAGAACACTCATGACCCAGAAGTCATCATTCACACACTCACTCATCTCCAAGGGAAGGGTTTTATAGTATTCACCATGATGATGGCTACTATCAAAGACTCCCTAAGCAACATAGGCCTACGCATGAATCAAGCCTTCTAAGAGAACCTAGAGTTGACCTTCCTCCCTTTCCTGGAAAGGATAACGTGGATGATTACTTGGATTGAGAGATGAAGGTTGAACAACTCTTCACTTGCCACAATGTGAGTGAAGAGAGAAGGGTTCCAATGGCTATCCTAAGCTTTTAAGGGTATGCCATGTATTGGTGGACTTCCCTTGAAAGGGAAAGAAGAACTCATCATGAGCCTTCGATTCAATATGGAATGAGCTTGAAAGTGCCTTAAGGAGAAAACACATTCCTCCTTAAATGACACCTAAATGAAGGTAGCAATCCGGTTTAAGCATGTGAGTGGCCAAAGTTTGAATTTCAAATTCAAAATTTTAAATTCAAACTTTTCTCCGACTATTCCTACTTTTTTGCCTCCAATCTTTAGCTAATTTTCCTCCTATAATTGTATCTCTTCCCTCCTTGTAAAAACACTTTTGATATATGAGAATTTCTGAACAATTACTTCAGCTAATTCCCTCAAGAGTCACCGAAAATTCCAAGAGAGAAAACCTAAGAGAATGCCTTCAAAAACCTTAGGAAAACCTAGTTTTCCTTCCCTTTGAAGTGTGCAATCCTTTGAGTTCATGAGCTTGGATGCTTCCTTCTTCCATTTCCGCAGATTGTTCTTCATCTTCACGAGTTCTTCAAGTGTGTTTCCATCTCCATTGAAGAAGATCCGAGCCTAGGAGGAGTTTAGGAAGAGTTTGAGCTTCACTCCTACTATTCACCTCCATCAATATGTCATCATTAGGGTCAATCATGAAGGGACTTGGAAAGTATCATTTGATTGTGCTTCAAACTCTATAACTTGTAGTTGTAGAAAGTTTAAAACATTTGGCATACTTTATTCACATTCATTGAAAGTACTTGAAGCAAATGTGTTGAAGTTGTTCTCGAGAAATATATCATAAAAAGATGGACAAGAGAAGCCTATAATGGCATTGTGCATGATGTGAGGGGAAAACAAGTTGAAGGAGATCCAATATTATCTAGTATAAGGAGATATAAGCAACTTGTATTTAAATTTGTTAGATTTGCTGCTAACATGTCAACATATGAAGAATATCACAAGATTATGGATAATAACGTAGATGTCATGTGTAAGGAGATTCAGAAGTTGCGTTTACAAGCCAAAAGTATTCGTAATCACTACAATGATAATCTCACATTTGTGAGTGATGGTGGTAAGCAACTAAAGGGATTCAAACATAAACCTGACTTAAAGAGAAATAAGCAATTAAAAGGTTAGGTTGAGCTTTAATCTAATAGGAAAAAAAATACTCAAGTAAAGAATCTTAGGTGTGTAAATTGATGTACATATTGATTCTTAATATATTCTAGCTTTATGAATTATCACTTGTTTTAATTTTCCATGTTAGTTTTAGGATAAAAAGTTGAGAAGTCATCAACCCAACATGACATCTTGTTTAGTACTTCCAACTTTTAAGCCCCCTTACACATTAGAAAATCAATTTAGTTTTACTAAATTTTTGATGGTAATATCATTTGTCTTTATAATTTTCTTTTATCTTTCAATTCTTTTACTTAATTCTAAACATGTTAATTAATTTTTGTTATTATGTAAGTACTCTTGATGATATAAACAATCAATTATTAAACGACATGTCTCCAATCCTTGATTAAGATTCAATAAAAAAAAATTAGTTGATAATAATATTATAATCAATTGTTACTACATGTTTAGTGTATTTTAATATCGTTGATAATAATATTATAATTAATTAATATTATGCTTTTTTTAGATATATATTAATATTATAATTCACTTTTAAGAACTGCTTGAATAATTAACATTATTATTGATCTAGTCGTTGTTATAATGTTATTAACAATATTTTGACTTAACTCATTTGTATTTTATTTTTGCAAAATACTTGTTACATAATTCATTTATGCACAATATTAATTATAATCAATATTTATTTATTTTTTTGCATAATTCATTTGTTCATGAGTCAGTATAATCAATGTTGGATGCTTAATTAATTTTTTTACATATACAATTGTTTGAAGAAATTAAACTAACAATTTTTTAATTTAAGTAAATATATATTTAATCAAATATCACAATAAATAAAAAAAAATTGGAAGGATAGAAAATCCGAATCCGTGGTCTTGCCCCTTTTCCTGTAAGCAGCAGCATAGAGTGGAAGTGGAAGTGGAAGTGTCCTTCATCCACAACAACAAAACACACTATGTGTTCCCATTCCCTTAAGAGAATCCTCGCCAAATTCCCTCCAACCCCCCAACACCTCAAACTCGCCCACACCATAACCCTGAACCTCCTCAACTCCACCACCACCACCATCCCCTGCCTCGCACCCCACGTCGCTTACCGTGTCCTCTCCCACCCCTCTCTCCCCCCTCGCTCTTGCCTCGCCTTCTTCCATCTCCTCAACCCCAACCCAGACCTCACGGCCCACCTCATCCTCCTCTTCCGACTCTTCCAGGCCCAAAACTTCGCCTCCTTCAAATCCACCCTCAATTCCCTCCTCACCCAAGCCCAAATCAAACACCCCGTCTCATCCCTCATTTCCTTACTCGACCATTACCAATTCCAGAGCCACCCCAATTTCCTCCGCACACTATGCGACATCTTGTTCCGACTCTGCGCTGACAACGGAATGTTCCAAGACGCCTTCAACGTCTTTGACTACGGAACCGCAAAGGCTTCGCTCATTGAGCCCAGGTCTTGCTTCGTGCTTCTGCTTGCCTTCAAGAAACGCGCCCACTTTCACTTGTGCGAGCCCTTCTTCCGCCGCATGGTTGACTCGGCTCGCGTCGATATCGGCGTTCAGTCCTTGACGCTCGTCGTCGATGTGCTGTGTAGGAACGGCGACGTTGAGAGGGCCAAGGCCTTGATCCACGAGATGGCCGCGAGAGGCGTCGTCACGCCCAATGTCTTTACTTACAACACGTTGTTGAATGCTTGCGTCGCGAGGAAGGATCGGAACGGGGTCGGTGAGGTGTTGGCGTTGATGGAGAGGGAGGGTGTGGTGCTTAGTTTGGCTAGTTATACTATTTTGATTCAGTGGCACGCGGGTTGTGGCCGAATTCGGGAGGCGGAGAAGTTGTTCGATGAAATGCGCGAGAGGAATGTGGAGATGGATGTCTATGTGTACACGTCCATGATAAGCTGGAATTGTAGGGAGGGGAATGTTAGGAGGGCGTTGGCCTTGTTTGATGAGATGATTTCGAGAGGCGTTGCGCCCAACGCTCGCACGTTCGGCGCGTTGATTAGTGGCGTGTGCAAGGCCGGGGAAATGGAGGCTGCGCAGATCTTGCTGGAAGAGATGCAGAGTAAGGGGGTTGATCTGAATGGGGTGATATTTAACACGATGATGGATGGTTATTGTAGAAGGGGGATGGTGGATGATGCTTTTAGGCTAAAAGTTATCATGGAAGGGAAAGGGTTGGAGCCGGATGTGTTTACATACAGCACTCTTGCTAGTGGGTTGTGTAGATTGCATAGGTATGAGGAAGCGAAGGGGATGTTAAATGTGATGGTGGAGAGAGGAGTGGCTCTGAATGTTGTGACTTGCACTTTGTTTATTGAGATATATTGTAAGGAAGGAAGCCTTGCAGAAGCTGAGAGGTTCTTGAGGAATATGGAGAAAAAAGGAGTGGTGCCGAATGTTGTTACGTATAATACTCTCATAGATGCATTTAGCAAGAAAGAAAAAGTGAAGCGGGCTCATATGTTGAAGGCTGAAATGATTGAGAAGGGGCTGCTGCCGGATGTTTTTACATACACATCACTGATACATGGGGAATGCATTGTTGGCAGGGTAGATGAGGCTCTGAAGATTTTTAATGAAATGTTGGTTAAGGGCATAAGTGGAAATGTGAAGACTTATACGGCAATTATTTCGGGTTTATCCAAGGAGGGAAGAGCAGATGAAGCTTTTAAGTTTTATGATGAGATGACGAGAATGGGTCTAACACCCGATGATAGAGTTTTTGCTGCACTAGTTGGTAGCCTTCATAAATCCAGTTCTCATGCTGGTGCAGAACAAAATGAATTTGGGGAACTGAAAACAGACACTTCTGATACCTCGAGCTGGTCAAACACTGGTTTGTCATCTTCACATAGGAAGGCAGCACGTACATGATGATTTTGTCCTTTAAACTCAATCAATAACCTGTATTGAAAAAAATCATCTTCCACATTACCAAATTAGAGCTTTGAAGCTGGTACAATTTACAAACATTCTGGTGTAGGGTAATATACAAACCTTCTCTTTTTCTTTTTCTTTTTATTTATTTTTTTAAAATTTTACATTCCTTAGTTTTTGGTGATTAGAGACGCTGCTGAAGTATTTCGCCCAGAATTGAGATTTAGTCAGATTTGTTCACAGATGTGAGCTGTGGTTCGTGACCAGAGAGATAACAGAAGGAGGCTTCACCGCTACAGATACCAACATGAACTTTTCTAAATACGTGGAAATGGCTGACAAATTTCTTCTCAGACCATACAATCTGATTAGAAATCAAATTCTAATAAAAGATATGCCTAAATTGTGGGCATAATGGGTAAGGATATTAACTATGATAATTAGCAGTATGAATATTAACCTGCTCTCTTAATTTGTTTATTTTTTTTACATAGGAGATTCCTTTGGTGGCCTTAGCAATTAGTGGTTAATAATTAATCAGGCTAAATTATACTTTTGGTCTTTTATCTTATTTTTCAAATTCATTTTGATCTTTTATCTATTAAAATGTTCATTTTGGTTTATTATCTTTTATATTCGATTTTGAGACATGATTTTGAATCAATTTTTTTATTGATTCAAGACTTGAAACATCTAATATTAGATTCATCTACATGAAAATTATAAAATGCAATTGATGTTTAAATCTAAAAGAGCTATAAATATAGTAAAAGTTGTGTGAAAAATATATTTTATGAATAATTAGAAAATAATATGAAATTATATTTTTTGAAAATTTTAATTTTCACCATATTTATAACATATTTGGTTTGAACTTCAATTGCATTTAATAATTTTTATATAAATGAATTTTATAAAACAAGCTTCAAGTCTTGAATTAGTTAAAAGAAGATTTAAAAGGACTAAATTGACCTAAATTTAGAAGATAAATGATCAAAATGAACATTGAAAAATATAGAGAACCAAAATGAATATAAAATATAAGATAAAGGACTAAAAGTATAATTTGGCCAATTAATCATGTTCCACTCAAATTAGATACAATGTAAAAATACAACAACAACCAAGCTTTTCTTTTGAGTAGGTGGGACTTTTAGGATTTAGGATTTTGGTGAGACCTGTTACACAGGTCAAACGATAGTGCCATAATATTTTGTTGTAAATCATGTCTATAAATAAACTTTCTGACCACTAAATCCTTTTTAATAGTTTTGCTTATAGTTTTTCTTGGTCTCCCTTCAGCACTTAAATTATGAATGATTGGGACTAATGGCTAAATGTAGGCCACTAATTGCTAAGGGACAAGGGTTACTGGTAACCTCACAAAAAAGGAAGCATACTGGACTAGGCATGGCAACGGAACGGGGCGGGGGCGGGTTTTATGTTCCCTGCCCCGTCCCTGCAGGTTTAAACTGACCTCGCCCTTGCCCCCGATACCCGCTGGGGGTAAAATCTGGGTACCCATCCCCGCCCCCGACCGGGTTCGGGTTTCCCGCCCCTGCTCCCGCTCCTGGATTTTTTTTCTTCTATTTTTAATAAATAATAAAAAAATTTAAAAAATAAAAGAAAAAACAAAATAATACAAATTTTTACATTCCTTTTGGTCAAAATATCTCTCAAATAGTTTTAATAATATTTAATATATTTTGTTATTATATCTAATTATATGAAATTATGACATCAAAATTATTGATAATTTGATATAAATGGCACAATACTTTTGCTAAATGTAGGCCACTAATTGCTAAGGGACAAGGGTTACTGGTAACCTCACAAAAAAGGAAGCATACTGGACAGTCTGGACAAACCTCGTGTTTCACGTGTAAAACCTGACAGCGAATCTCAATATTGTTAATCTCAAATGAATTGCACTGCATGTAATTTACCAAAAGTAAATTATGTTATATCTAGTCTAGGCATGTATGTTCTAGTAAAGTCATTGTGTTTGTGTGTTTATTTTATTAGGCCTGTTAAAGTCATTCCCTGTTTGCTATATGTTGTAACAATTATACCTTACCTATATCCACCTTGTAAAATTCTTTTGAGATGCATTGCAAGTAAACATTTTGGCTGTGATTTAAATCGAGTGTGTGCTTCTAATGCTATGGGTGAACATAGCGAAGCTAATATAATTTATATCTATGATTCATATATGCAAGTTGTTTAAGTGGTTCTTGAGAAGCAAATTTATCTGATTACATGTCATTCTAAGATGTGTGTGGTTTTGGTACATAGAAATGAAATTCGATTTGTTCTGAGTCTGTGTAACTGGCTACTTAGCATTCATTTCATTATGTTCAAATAAGAACTCTCCTGATTTGTACATAATGAAACAGGTATAGGCGTTTCAGAAATCATAAGGAAAGACATAAATTAATGAAGACAAGTTTGTATATTAAGGCGTTTCATTATGTTCTTAATTGATGAATTACGCAAGGGAGGCACTAATGGAGTCGATAATAAAGCAGGTAAGACTTGTTTGGGATTTGATTTAACATGATTATGAGAGGCCGCATATGTAGGAGATGAAATATTAGAGTACTTTTGAACCGAATAAGACTGAATTGCTTTAGCATTCACATTCAGTTGGTGGCGTGATTCATACAACTTGGCAAGAGCCACAACAAGCAGCAATGAAGTTGGAGATTGTGCTATAACATCACAACGAATTTCCTCCAGTAATCCACTCAAAAAGCACTTCATTAAAATCAAATGGTGAAGGACCAAATTGTGACTGCATATCTCGTGTAAGATCTGTCCAAGAATTTACCGCAGACAAAAGATGTAGCATCTGAAACCATGGCACAACATCCTTTTCAAAATGCATCATAGCAATGTCCACACGTTCTATGTTTGGTGTGTGATGGTAATTAAAATTTTTTTCTACCTTAAAAACCCACTCTAAAACTGACAATTGGCCATCAAAATGCGGAAACTCAGAGAAATATTCTTAGCTAGCAATCTAACGTTAGAAGACTCACCATGAGGCTGAGATTTGTACTGCAAAACCAAATTCAAGGATTGTTGTAATTGATCCATTTGAACTCGAGCATAGAGCTGTCAAAATGGGCCAGCTTAGCCTGTTTTGCTTGGCCCACCTTAACCCACTTTTTAAGTAGGCCAACTCGGCCTGACCCACCAAATTTATTATGCAAATTTTTCTAGCCTGGCTCGGCTCACCACGGGTTGGTGAGCTAAACGGGCCGCCCACCAACCCACCTGATTTTTTTTTAAAAAAATTGTAATTTAAAATAAATTTTAATATAAAATAATATTTAATCTAAAGTAAAAATTATCAAACTAAGTATCATAGATACAACATTAAAATTAAATTAAAAAGTGTACAACTTTAAAAAATTAAAACAAAAAATAAAAATTCTTTCATAGAGTGATTATTCATCAATATTAAATTTTATTGGAGGTTTTGGTAGATAAATTTATATTAATTTCATATTGTTTAACATTGATTTTACCTTCATCTATAAAATGATATTTTATTAAAATAATGCATATATAATAATAAATAGTTAAGTGAGCTGTTAGTGAGTTCTTAGTGGGTTAAGTTGATGGGTTGGTAAGTGGGTCAGGTGGCACATTTTTTACCCATCATAAATTTTTTCATTTTTTTGGCTGCCCGACCCATTTTCAAGGTGGGTCGGGTTGATCCACGGGTTAAAGTCCACTTTGACAGCTCTACCCAAGCAAATGCTTTAACTTGGTTAGTATGGTCACGTTGTGTTTGATCTCTCAATTCTAGTAATAGCATCAAATTTTTCATCTTCAATTGTAACTCTTTGAGATGCGAATTCTTAGCCATGGAAACAGCAAAAGGACCAGTGGAATCTAGAGAGCTTAAAATTCGTTATTAGAATTAGCTACAAATGACGTTGAACCCATGATCAATCATCCCGATCATAAACAAACTGTCAAGAGAATAGAGAATAATTAGAGAAGGGCAAAGAAAAATAGGTTTAGAGAGAAAGAGAGGAATTAGGGAGAATTTGTCATACCACATGCATAATGACTATTTTGTAAAGCTTTCTAATAAAATATTCATCTTCCTCAACCTAATGTTTTGTCTCGTTTCTCTTTCCTCAGCATCAATTGCCATGTATCTCTTTTGGCATAACAAACTTTTCCATTTTTTCCACGTCATTATGGTTCCATGTTACACGCTGACGACCATGAAGCCTTGTCGATTCCGTGGAGAATGGCAGTGCATTCCGATACAGCTTCATGTGATGTGGCTTCTTGTGTTAGGCCATGATGAAGCCGTAGAAGAAGAGGCATTGAACTGTTATTCTAATGGAATGTTATCAATTGTGATGGACAACGTGGTGCAAAAAGAGTTAGATGAAGAGTATATATCTCACTTTAGGCACAAAGGGGTGAACAATAATGACTCCATTGTGTACAATGAAGGAAGTGAGAATAGACACTGGTGAGGAGATTCCTATTATCCTGAATGAAGTAGATAAAATTGGGTGTGATTGTACATTTTGGGATAGGGAATTGGTGAGCTACCCTATTGTTAAAAAGATGTTGGAATGGTGGACAACCCTGAACTTGGAGTCACGGGGGACAAGTTGCTAACCAGTTTTGTCACAAATACAAAATTACAAATTATATATAATAAAATAAATTAAATGTATAATATATTTGTTGCACAATAAATTATAAATTACTTACATAATAAATCTCATGTAATTTATTTAAACTTAACATTAATAATAATAATAGTAATAATAATAATAATAATAATAATAATTAAGTAGACCAAGATGTTCAACTTGCCCATCAATTTTTTGTAGGACAAAAGACTAGTCTCCGAATCGGTTCGTTTTGTCATCCCGATCATTATAATGTTAAGTTAAATATTTTAAATTATATATTTTAATATAATAGTATAATACTCACATCTTTAAAGAATAATGTGTAATTCATTATGCATTTTAACATATGAATAGATAATGGTATAATACTTATATCTCTTAAAAGGAGAAAAATACAATTTATACTAACAAAACTAAATTAAATAAATTAAATTGCATATTTTAATATAAGAGTGAAGAACGATATAATACTCTTATTTATATAAGAGACTAATAACATAATAAAACAACTTATAATATAAATAATAAACAATAAATAATATAGCTCAAAATGAATAAATGATATTACTTCGTTTCATATATTTTATTTGACAAATTTTTGTAACCAAAAAAATATTTTAGTAAAAAAAATTGTTATATTTTGATTATCATTTTAAAATACTTAAATAATATTAAATATTTTTAATTATATCTTTAACTATTTAGTGAAGAAATGAAATAAAAATATAAACGAGAGAACATGTATTATAATTAAGGATGATAATAGATCAAGTCTTAAATATGTGTTTATGACTTAATCTTTTTAAAGTTTGACTTGACCTGACATATTTAATAAAAAAAGTTAAGTTTAAACTTTTAAAAAAGTTTATTTATAGAAAATGTCAGACTTTTAAAACCTGTTAGGCTTGATAGATCAGTTTATTTATTTATATAATCTAATAATAAAATAATATATTATTAAAAATAAAAAATAAATTTACAAACAAAAATAAATTATTAATATTTAAAATATTTTTTTATATAATTATTTTTTTCATTAGAAGTTTATAAGCTTGCGATCTGTACATAAGTGTACATCAAGATACATAACTATACATGAATTGTTCTTTTAATAGAAAATGATTCAAATTTTCTTTTATATTTCTTTTAAAATTTAAAATTTAATAATATTGAATAACTTATATTTTAAAAATAATTTTGTTGATTTTTTAAAATTAAGTTTATTGACCTAATTAACATTAATAATTTAAATAAATTAATAGATTATATCAAACTTTAAAAATGACAAACCAGACTTATAAAAAAAAATTATGATAAATAATATATCAAATTTAGATTTTAATTTTGTAAAATAAGTCTAACCTATATATTCAAATTTTGACTTAATCTAACATATTCTCATTCTTAATTATAATTAATATAATTAATATAAAAGATGAGAAATATATTTAAAGTTAAATAATTTTATTTTATCTAAAATATTAATTATTTAAAAAAAATTTTTTTTGACAATCATTAATTACATTCCTCAATTCATATCTTGAAACATTAAATATCAAACAGAAGAGAAATTCTGCAAGAAAACTCTGTCATGGTATTTTTAGTTAACTCGTGTAGAATTGTCTCATAAAAAATATTTATAATCTTTGATTCAAACATAATCACCCATTAAAAAGATACACATGATTAGAAAAACCAAAAAAAAAAAAAAATAACGAAGATGAACTAATTAAGACAATATTCCTTGTACTAATACAGAAGATTCCATGAAACTCTACTCTTAGTTAAGCGACAATAGTTGAAAAAGGATAGACAAGTTCGTAGGAGGCGCTCATGTTTTAAATTGTAAACAATTAAGAAAAAAGTAAGTGCCTAAATAAAGATTAAAAAAAATAGTAAGTTTATATATTCATGTATTTAATTTAAAGTTTGGAAATTATAGGTGAAAACGAATAACATAGCAGCATCTTGAACTGCAGCGAGCAAAAGGAAAGAAATTCCACCCGTGAAGAAGGAAAATAAAAATAAAAAAGAAAGAGAGGTAACCTTTTTTGTCTGTGCGTGTGGGTGGATCTGGGAAGAAAGGGAGGGAGTGTCACTGCGGATCTGAATTGTCGTTAGGGTTTTGAAGGGTTTTTCCATTTTCTTCAATGGCCACGCCCTTTCCCATTCATGTCACCGCAGCTCAGGTTCTTCTTATTCTTCTTATCTCATTCACTTCAAATTGAATCGATTCGAATAACGTGGGTTTGCTTTTGCGTGTTGATTCATTCAGGTTGGGACGTACTTCGTCGGACAGTACTATCAGGTGCTTCAGAGCCAACCGGAGTTCGTGCACCAGTTCTATTCCGAAGCCAGCACCATGCTCCGTGTCGACGGCAACGCCAGGGAAACCGCCGTCGCAATGCTTGTAATTTCCCCTGTTCTTTCTTGTGGTTTCAGAATTGTTAGGTTTCTGTTGTTGTGTTCGGTGAAAGGAGTTGTGTGTCGAATTGGGGGGTGGTTGTGGTTGAGGAATTTAAATTTTGTTGGAGGGTGGTGTTTAAAATTGATAGAAAACAATTGGTTGGGATGTTTGGTGAGTGCTGGTGAGAGATGAGAGCTGTTGCTGTTGATTAGAAGAGGGAATTTGAGTGGCCGTGTTTCTGTAGCACTGCCTCAGCCTCGAGGAAATTTTGTAGTATGCTTCTTGTTGGTGTATTAATGACGAGAAGGGGTAATGTGTCAGAATACGGGGAGAATTTTTTAAATTGAGAACTTTCAATTGGAGTGTGGTTGTTGTCAGTTGGAGGGGTTGCTCTCATTTATTGTCTAACTAGGTGTTGAACAGGATTGTTTTCAAAGGAGGGCATGAAGTCTTTGTATTTAAACTGGATATAAACTAGTGTTGGAAATTTAATGAGCTTGGGTAGGATTTATTGATTGTAGTCTGGCTGTGACATTATGCAGTGTTTACAATTACAACCTCATTTGAAATTGCCCTGTCTGGTTATGAAATTCTTAGTTCAACTTTATAAGGTTAAAGGAACCAGAGGTTTTGTGTTTTCGAATGATGTGCGTTTTTATGATATAGTGGTGCACTTGGTCAAAAGTACATGTAAGAAATTACCTATTGCTTCTTTTCTTCTAATGGTTTTTTTCAGTTGTTGCAATAGATCTGTGATTGCTTTAAAGTCTGGCCTGGAATAATCTGCACATGAACTCGATGACAGTCTTGAATTGACATTCCTATAATAGTGTTTTATTTTGGCAAGCCTGTTCGTTATATGAGATCTTGGTTTTGTGGAGGGAAGCAGCCATGTTATTCTTTTGTGTTAGTTTGCTGAGTTTGTAGGAAGTATCTTCTTGGGTTATAAACTTATAATGGTTTAATTGATGTTATTTCTTTTTGACAGCATTCTTTATTATCCTTCCTATATCTTTTATATAATCTGTTGAAAATTTTAGATCTCAATTACCTATTCTATAGTTGCACCCAAGTTTCTGTTTTTTCTGGATGTCTTGTCTTGATGATTAAGAGCTTGAACATATCTAGTATTTCTATGTTTTTCTGGTTTGTTTACATGTTATATGTGTACTTGTTATTGTCTCACTCTTAGTATTCCATTAAAATCTTAATTTGGTAAAGTGATAAGTCATTCTCTCTGCTGATTTAGATTTCTTACATTTTGTTATGTCTTTAAATGTTTGAAGGGATTTGGCATTATATTCAATTGTTTATGCATGTACAGTTGATAGTAAAGGTCTCATTTTCCCCAGAACTTAAAATACTTTTTTTTGGGCAGCAAATCCATTCACTGATTATGTCACTCAGTTACACTGGAATTGAAATCAAGACTGTACATTCTCTAGAATCTTGGAGTGGTGGTGTTCTTGTGTTGGTTTCTGGATCTGTGCAAATTAAGGACTACAATCAGAGGAGAAAATTTATGCAGACATTCTTCCTTGCACCCCAAGAAAAAGGATATTTTGTGCTCAATGATGTGTTTCACTTTGTCGAAGAGGATCCAGTTCACCAAGTCCAACAACAAGCAGTCTTGTTACCTCAGAACAATCTTGATTCGAAAGTGAATGCTTCGAGTACAATCAATAAGACAGGTAAGTGTGTGCCAGGTTGTGTTCTTGTACTTGAATTAAAAAAGGACAAATCTTGCATCGAGTATTCAAGTTCTCAAATTAAACAGTAATATGTGGATTTTTTTTCCTAATCAAGTTACATAATCTTAATGGGGGATATTAAGTGTTGGACGAAAAAATATCCACATGTTATTGTTTGATTTGGGAGCTTGGCAGCACAAATATACGGAGCTTTATCCAAGTTTTGTCCAGAAATCCTAACTTCATAAACCCTTATAATACTACAAATTGTTATATTTTTAACAAAGACTGTTGTTTATCATTGTCACCAATTGTATTTTGATTTTCTACCTTATTATAAGTTGTCAACTGCCACCATCAGCCAGTATTATCACATTGACAACATATAAAACATCAGTGCCTTCAAATTGATTTATAAAACTGTTTCCTTTCTGATAAAAATATAGTTTTACTCTATAAAATTGTCAGCTGTCTGTGAAACTTGATCACAAACCTCAATTATCTATAATGATAAATGTTTTATGTCTTTGAAAAAATGAAACAATTTTTACTTGAGAAAAATTCAGATAAGTAGCCAATTTGGCTGTTTATAAAATATAAATGATTCTGAAAACTATAACCTTTTTAACTATTAAGTAATTTAGAGCCATGGATTTTACAGTGTCCAACTACCTTCTGAGTGGAGATATCCAAGCTAGGGACTATGTTGCTGCAAATGAGGTCAAAGAAAATGGTGTAGTTGATAATTATGGATTTTCAGAGCAACGAATGCAGCGGGGCTCTGATTCCGAACATATTAGGGAGGATAATGTTGTTGAAGAGTCAAATGGTTCACTTCAATCTTCAATGAATACAGTGCAAGACCATGTACCTGCTTCTCCTGATGAACCTGCTGGGGAGCCTCAAAAGCACACTTATGCTTCCATTGTATGTAATGACTAAGCATTATATTAATTTCCAAATAATATTTCCTTTTGGGTTTCTGTTATGGCTTTAGAACTGACGATGTTATGAACTGTTGGAAGCTACGGGTTGCTAAAGGACAATCTACACCGTCTGTAGCTTCACATAAGAATGTGTCCCCTTCAGAATGGGAAAATATTCAACAGAATAGCAGTCAGCAACAGCAAACAAATGCTTCAGCAAATGCATTTGAAAGGTCTGAAACTGATGCAACGGATGAGATTCCTGCACCAGAAGATGAAGGTTAGTGTGTGTACTTGTTGGGAATTGATTAATTATTCTTTTCTCCATTTATTGTTTTAGTTAATTACTGGTATTCAGCACATTTTCTTGGTTCATTGCATGATAACCTGATAAACTAGTTTGTTTTGTAAAGACTGTTTTGTAGTACTTGTCATGTATTCATTCGTCATTCCCACTAATCTTGATTTGCCTGGGATTGCTTTCAGATGAAATCAAATCTGTTTATGTGAGAAACTTGTTACCTACAGTGTCTCCTTCTGAAATTGAAGAGGAATTCAAGAATTTTGGTAGAATCAGGCCTGATGGTGTTGTCATTAGAAGTCGCAAGGTTTATATCTCTTCATCGTCAAATAACTATCAATTATGGTTTTTGAATCTAAACTTTTCACTTGTGTCCAGGATGTTGGTGTTTGTTACGCATTTGTTGAATTTGAAGATATGACCGGCGTTCATAATGCAGTCAAGGTTTGGATTTTCTTTCAAACTCTAAGTTTGAGATATGCTTTACCCTTGAATTATGATGTAGTAATGCACCTTGCCCAAAACTAATGCCGAACTTGCTACTTCGTCTCAGTGATTGTAGAATCATGTTTTCTTTTTATGGTTGCAGGCAGGATCTGTTCAGATTGCAGGGCGTCAAGTATACATTGAAGAACGGAGACCAAACAGTAACATCCCTTCTCGAGGAGGAAGTATGCTTTTTAATATTATCTTTACTTTTTTATTTTTCTTCTCCCCCTTTTTTTTCTTGAATCTGTGTTGCCACTTTTGCTTATTGGGGATTGAATTGATGGGACTGGTAATGGATTCTCTTGTACTTAGATTTTAACAAATACAAATTTAGCTATATTCTAAATTTTATCAAAGTCTGAGATCAGGTTACCGTGATTTCTTCTAGTTCAAATTTGTCACTACTCTCACTGTTTAGGGGACGTTCCATCTGTGCTCTGACGTGATGAGGATATGTTAAATTCTGATTTGACCAGCCTCTTGCTTCATTCAATTTTGTATCATAAACTATTCAAAATTATCTTTGTGTAACACAATTTGACTAGCATTATTTTATGTACTAATGATGGTGCTGGAGAGGTGCACGACACCCTTTGTTTTTCCAAAAAGCATCCATGCTTTTTTTTTCCCCTGCATAATTCAACATTTAAGCCACTGGCTTTGTTTCATCATACTTGTTTTCACTGTATTGTCAACAGGACGGGGTAGAGGCAGAGGTAGCTATCAGTCAGATGCACCAAGAGGGCGTTTCAATTCAAGGAGCTTTGGCAGAGGAAGTGGCCAAGATGGTGGTGATCGGGAATATAACAAATCGAAAGGAAATGGTTTCTATCGACCAACTCCGCGCCAAGAGAGGGCAAATTCAGGGCATCATCAAATACCAAGAAATGGGCAAAATCTGACAGAGTCCTGACTCAACGAAAAATTTCAGTTAGAGAATCCAATTTTGGGTCCAGATATTTCTGCTCAAATAGTCAACTTCAGTAGATTAGACCAAATATTGATAATTTTTCATGTCTTAAATTAAGTTGTTCAGGGAATATGGATGAGATATTTTCGTTTCTGATAAATTTTGTTCAAGGCGCTTCTTGTTTCATTTGTTTTTCCAGGAATTTTATGTTTAGCTGGAAATGTGTTTAAAACACCTGACATTTATTTATTCCCTATTGAAATTTGAAATCTAGTTGTTTCGTTATCAGTTCTTTGATACTAATCGCTTTAACTGTATTGGTAGATCAATTTCTCTTGTGAATAACTAATGGCTTTTTGCATTGCTTTTCGGCTTACGATTAAAATCAATGATGTCAAATTGAAGATGAAAATACGATTAAAATTTCGTATTTTTAAAATTAAGGAGACTAACTGTCTTTATTCTAAAATAAATTGACTAAAATTACAAATCAATAAAAATAAATGGATTAAAAGTTTAATTAAGCCTTTAATATTTAGTTGTAAAAGTTTTAATTTTGAATTGTTTTGTTATAATTTTTTTTACATGTAAAAATAAATAATTGACTTTGAAAAGTTAAAAGATTTTTTTTACATCAAGGATTTTCACAAATGATAATTAGACACTAATACTTTGAGAAGAGGGATCATTGAATCAAGTTTTGTATCTTTGTAAGTCTTCTCTATACACATGATGGTGAGAAATCAAGTTTTTTTTTAACAAATCTGTGAGTAGAGAGGCAATCGTAGCATATACTGGCAAACAAATCGCTTGTAAAATCCTGTAAGGTCAAGAAACCTACGTAACATTGAGAGAATGTGGAGTTGACCACTCCATAATGGATTTGAGTTTCTAAGGGTTTGGTGAGACATCTTGACTTGAATGATTGACCCAAATAGGCTACTGAATCCACCCCAAACATGCATTTAGATTGTTTAGCATAAATTTGATTAGCACATAACAAGTCTAAAATGAAACGTAAATACGTAAATGTAGCAAGTAAGCAGTGAGTGATTTACTATAAATCAATATGTCATAAGAAACACCAAAACAAATTTTCGCAAATAAGATCTAAGTAAATCATTCATTGCAACTTAAAATGCATATGGGCCATTTGATAGACCAAATGGCATAACCAAAAATTCATAAATTTTGTCAAATGTTCTGAAAGCTATTTTAAGAACATTTGAAGGAATCACTTGTATTTGATGATATTCTGATTGCAAATCAATCTTAGAAAGCACTTTAGCAACACCAAGCTCGTCAAGCAATTCGCCAATAGTAGGTATAGGAAATTTGTCACAAACTATGGTTGCATTTAGTTTATGATAGTCAACACAAAAACACCATGAGCCATCCTTTTTCTTGACCAACAAGACTGAAGAAGAAAAGGAATTGGTGCTTCACTGAATAATATCCTCTGTCAGCATCTTAAAGATTAATTTAGTCATGATTTTCTTTTGGGCATGGGGATAACGGTAGGATTTCACATTAATTGGAGCAATATAGGGTAGTAAAGGAATATGATGGTCATGAGAATGCTTCAATTTGAGAGAATAATTATGTAATTTTGGGGTCTAGAGAAAAAATGGCAATCAATCAAGGGCACTAGATGGTTGTTGAATAGGGTGCATGGATAATAAATGTTAGGATGCCATGGAATCTTGATGGATATAATGATAAAGTTGATGGAATGCAGCTAGGGTAGGTAGGGCTGAGTCTCCAATAATAGTGATGGGTATAGTAGGAATGGCAAAATTGACTTGAACCAAGCCCAAAGTATGTAACCAAGCAATGCCTAAAACCAAACCAACACCTTCAATTAGCAACAAACAAAATGGAACATCAAATGCATGAGCCTAAATTTGTATTGGAACATTGGGGCAAAATATAGGCTTGATTTCGTACCATGACTCAAAATAGTTGGGTCAGTTGTGAATTAAGGTTCAAATGATGGGCCACATGAGGTTGGATTATGTTGTGCGAATTGCTCGTATCAATTAGGATTAAGACCTAGTGTCCCTTAATAGAATCTTTGAATTTTAGGGTTTGTTGTGAGCGAAGGTTAGTTAATACTAAAGTGGAAAGGTGGAAATGAACGACAAGATCAAGTGGAGGTGGGTTAGAGTAGGGAATGAGATTTGAAAATTTAAGTGAAATAGGATTGATGAACGATTATGGTGACATAGGTGGTTCATCATCTCATAATAAAAGTAAAAATTTGGGGGGTACTACACTTGTGACCAAAGAAATATTTCTTATCACAGTTATAACATAATCCTACTACGTTAAGTTATTGAAATTGTTGTTGAGGAGTTTTTTCATGGGTAATGTGAAAAAAGGATTTGGTTGTGAGGTTATAGGTGAATGATCAAGAACAAGGTTTGGGTTTAGTGTGGCATGAAAGGTAATTGCAATAAAAAGATTAGATCTAGCCCTGTAATCCTAAAATCTTATCTTCAACCAACTTGGCTAGCCCAATGGCTTGGGTAATGGAATAAGGTTTGAGTATAGCCATTTCACATTGGATTGTAGGGGATAACCATATATAAAACAATTCAATAAATTTTCAGCAATTAAACCCACAATTTTATAACAAATTTTTTCAAAGGCAACTTGATAATAAAAAATTGAGCTTGCTTGCTTAATCTTAAACAATTGAGCTTGATGGTTGACAAAAGTAAAACGCTTAAATTGTAGTTCCAAAGATTTGTTGAAATGTGACTAGTCCCCTAGTTGATTATTAGTGAACATCCATTTGAACCAGCTGAATGTCTCCCTCTTCATATAGAAAGCCACAAATTGCACACATTGATCTTGTTGCACCTAATAAAACATGAAATATTACATTGCTTGGAACAATGACTCAAGGATTTTAGATTCACCGAATGAAAGTAACTATAATTTTTGTGGACAAATGAATGAAGGGTTATAATGATGAGATTATTGAGTGGTTGTGAAAGATGGCACAGGTTGGGTAGAAATGAAGGGTGATCGAAAAAGTGCAGTTGTAAAATAAGGTTGATGAACAATAATAGTGGTCATAAACAGTGAGGTGAACAATGGAGGTGGGAACAAAAATGGTTGTAGGTTTTGTTGGATGTGAGCAGTAGTGGCAATGGTTGTATGTGAATTGTGATGAATGTGATAAGGATGAATTGTTGGGATGTGATGATGTATATTATGATGAGATGAGATGAATAAGTCCAATGCTACAAACTAACACGTAAGGAGATGAGTTATGCATATTGTATTTGTTGTGATGTGTATTGAGTCCATGCATACATGTTTGTTTGCAGGATAGTGTGAATCTATGCAAGTAGGATATGATAGGTCATCCACCTATGTCTCAAGGGTGTTATGGGAGGGAACCTCTAACGGAAATGAAAGGCTACCATGACCAGTTATAACACTTCGACAGGATCCTAATAAACATCCCCTAGTTGAGGTGGTTTAGGGGAATCACTATTGATGGGTGGTCCCTACACTATATGATGGGGTAGTCTCGTTTCACTACTCTTAGGCTATTTTGTATTGATGATGACAATTACAATCAAGAGATTGGTACCACATGAATATAAAGATAGAAGCATGCATTATACGAGTCTTAAATTATGATTGAGTCATATTGTCTGACTTAATGATTATGAATGATGAATGAATGTATGACGATGATTATTATTGATGTATGGAAGAATGATTATATGTGTGAGACGTTATTGACATGATGGATATGTATATGTCTACCTTTATGTCTTATATATGCTTGTATATGGATGAAATGTATTTTCACTTCCTATGTTTGTATGCTTGTGTTTGGGTTGAACATCACTTGTAGGATTAGAACAGGTATAAGAGGACATGTTTGATGAAGGAGAGGTATAAAGAGTGATTTTGTTTTGATTAGTGTGACATCGGGGTAGAATTTAGTCTTGGTAGTTGTTTGTATTTGTGAAATCTCTATTTTATTATACTTCATTGTTGAGAATTTTGTTCAAATAAAAGCATTTAAGTCTAGCTTTAATTTATACATTATCTTCTATGTTTTTGTTCCTTTAATAAAGTTAGGAACAAAGTTTTGTGAACCCTTTTACAAAGTGTAAAAGAAAATATATTTATTATTATTTTTATGAAATTCTTATTAAATTATTTATTTTGTTATTAAAATATTAAGGGTAGAAGGGTGTTACATATTCTTTTAGTGTATAGATATACTTTTATAATTATAAATTGTAAAAAAAGTTAAAAATCAAAATTTTGTTAAAAATTAGTGAGTGATTAGGCAAGGACAATTTTGTAAAGGAATAGCGAGGGATATTTTTACAGGGATCTACAACAAATTAGTGATAGATTATTTGCAAGTGATTCACAACGGATTAACGAATGATTATTTGCAAGGGAATGGTAAGGGATTAGTGAGAGACATTTTGCGAGGGACACAATTAGCAAAGGATAATTTGTGAGGGAATGGTAAAGGACTTGTAACGGAATGGTGAAGGATTTGTGAGGGATTAACGAGAGATGTCTATATTAGTGAAGGATGGATATTTGATCCTTGTAGGGTAGTTTTGATAACTATTTGCATACATAGGGTGCTTTTGTAACTATTTATGATTTTAAAGTTGTTTTCTATAATGTCGCTATGGAGTATAGAGGCACATGTTCCTTGTAGATTTTGTTTTAATTGTGAATGAATCATATGGCAGTTGCAATCAAGCAATAATGACAACAAAGCAATAATGACAACAAGAAGATCGCCATTTTCTATAAAGACTTGTTAAATAACGTCACATATAATAGTCAAACTTTTTTTTCTCTTTCATTTTGGTCACTATAACCCATAACACCATTAGTTTTTTTTTATTTTTTATTTTTTGTTTTAGTCTTTATGGCTCATAGCACTATCAATTTTTATTTAAGTAGCTATAGGCCATGAGCCATAATAAGAAACATTTATAATATAAAAAAAAGTTCATTATTGACATTTTGTAAATTGTGAAGAAAATAATTGTGTTGATAATTTTCTCTTCAACTTAAGAACAATGAGGATTTATATCATATATTTTGTCTATATAAAGAATTTTCTACAATTAGGTATTACATTTTTTTTATATTTATACGTGAAAAAAATCATTTTAATTTTTTTTTAAATATTAACACGTTCAAAAATATTAAAATTTATATGAAAGTAAAAAAAATATCTAAAATTAAATATAGTCATGTGACAAACTCTAATTGGAGTAAAGGGTGGTACATAATGTGGGACATTATGATTCATAGGTACAAGAAAAATCATTTTACACGTCAAAAAATGTAATTCAACTCAACTTTAGAATATTTTTTTACACACGAAACATAAAATCTGTGTCCCTATTGTTTATAAGTTGAAGAGAACCATAATCAACATCATTATCTTCCTCACAATGTGCAAAATATTGATAATGAACTTCTTTTATATTCCGAATGCTTCTAACTATGGGCCATGACTTGTAATAACTTTAAAAAAAATTGATGGTGCTATGCCAAAGCGACCAAAATGAAAAGAAATGATGATACTATGAGCTATAACGATCAAAACAACAAAAAAATAATGATATTATGGACTATAGTGATCCAAAAAAATTAAATACCCTTAAACCGCTACAATTCGCAAACTCTAGTCGTTATTGACTATAGCAATTCTAGTTGCATGACTATTGTAGCTAAAAAAATGTGACATATGTGTGGTTATGGTCATAGTAACAGATAAAAATAGTTCCAAAGTCGTAAGTAACTTCTAAAAAAATTCTATTTACACAAATAATTTTTTAAAACTATCTTACAATAGTCAAAAAGCCATAAAGGATTAACAATAAATGAGATTTTTTCTTGTAATGGGCAAACTTATGTGAATTACATGTCATTATTAAAAATTTTATTTCTAACTTAACTTATTAGATAAATAGACATAGAGATAAATTAAATAATTCATAACTTAATTTAAATATCAATGAATTTTTTTAATAACTATTTAACATACCATTTTCTCGATGATATATTGTAACATTATTTTATAAACAAAAATATAGACTTGTCATAATTGGATAAATTAAGCGAATCCTTTAATTTATTTATGAATTTGAAATTATCAATCATTTTTTAGTTATCAATATCAATTTATAACTCAAATTAATTCCTTCACACTCTCAAATATAATATAGAATAATTAATTTTATTTGCATATGTATAAAGTATAAACCTCATAACACATCAACATACAGATTTTTCTCTTCATTTTCAATTGTTCCATGTGTGCATACTGAGGAAAAAAAAATCAAAATAAACCCTCAAATGTTCACTTTCCTAAATTAAAAAAGCTCAGTAAATATAAAATAAAAATGGGTAGTTTTGCATCATTCAAGATGTTTAAGCATTTGTTTTTATAGGTGTTCTCCAAGATTTCCAACACCAATTATGCTTGGTCCATTGTAGATTCATAGTAGAATTAACGTCCAATCTCTTATATTTCTTCCAATCATGAAGGGCTGTCTTGAGATCTGTCACCTTTGCAGTGATGCTTCTACAACAATTGGCATGGATAGTAGTAACTGTCCTAAAATCTTTGCTATCTTGACAAAATCCACTAAAATAAAGGGTGTCCAAAAATCTAACCTTAAGTTTCAATTGTTTAATTACTCCACCTCTAATGAGATCAAGAAGCACATCCTGCTCTTTTTTTCCCATGGCATTATCCTTTTGTCCATACCATGTTTCAAATAAGGAAATGGTCTTGTTATTTGACCTCACAAAGTAAAATCCAGTATTGATTGGATTCTTTTCTGACCAAGGGTCACCAATGTACGTGTCTGTGCTAATTTGGAGGTCTTCTACCTTATTCTTGCTCAATCTTGTAAATGGATTTCTTAGCCAAATTACATCTGTGTCCTATAAAAGGAAAAAAAGAAAAGTAGATTAGAAGAAATAAAAGTTGAAGTGAAATTGATGTACTTTTACATAAATTATTTGACATTTTTTAATGACATGTTGAACTAAAAACTAATGCATAAAAATCAATAATAGAAAAAAAAAAAACTTCATACTTCCATTAAAAATATAAATTTTTTTATAAACATTTACTTGTAGATAATTCTATAATAAAAAAATAAGGGACAAAACAGTTATAACAAAAATTAAACTACTTAATGAATTGAACAACCTATTAATTTTTTTTTACATATAATTGTGAAGGAATATTCTCGTTTGTAACTGGTATTTTTAATTTCCTCCGAAAAGATATGCTGACAATCACATGTGAATTATCCTCGCGTAATTTTTCAGGATTATCCTAATTTCATTCTTAATTATCTCTTGTTCTCAACCAAATCTGATATCGTAACTGACTTTGAAACTACAAACATATATTGTTCAAACTTGAATATTTCTTACGTAACAAAGTCATTTATTCAATGAGTTCAATAAATTCCCTTTTAGCCACATTTATGAGAAACGTACTTGCACCAAAACTTTTTACCAAAAAGCTATGACGTGTCCTCTATGTACATGCTTTATCCATTTAAGTAACAAATCAAACCTCGCTTTACAGATAAATCGAAGTAACATTTATGCAAAAATAAATGAATATTGTCATGGGGTTTAGCAATCAAATAATAAATGTTATTCAAATTAAAGAAAAAGAAGATGGATGTTTTGAATTTTTATTCGCTAGTTAACTATCTTATAATATATATAAATCATATTTGAATTTACAATGAACAATTTAAATTGTAGTACAAGTTTTTTACAATTATTGATCATTTCTCTTAAAAATTATTAAAATTTAATTTACAAATGGAGATAAAATATGCAGAGTAAATGGAAAAGAAAATCAAATACAAACAAATAAAGATAAAAGGAGGATAATTTATGATTACTAAAAAGAATTATTTTTTTTGGCATGTGACATTTAAAAAAACGAGAGAACATTAAGAATGTGAACTAATGTTATACCTATGAACCTGAACATGACAAAGAGTAATGAATCAAAACAAAAAAAAAAAAGATGGAAGAAAAGATAATTACATACCGTGAAAATGAAGTTGTAGCCACGTTTGAGAACTTCCAAGAGGAAGAAAGTCCTTCTCCACATCATTTTGATGAAGTCTTGAGACATGTAGATTTTCTCACCTTCAAAATCAACCCCATCTGTGTCTAATCTGAAGCAATTCAGCTTCAGAAATTGACATCGATCATAGGCCTTTCGATCAACCGCTACTATGAGAAGATGATTAATGAGAGGCTTTGTTCCCTCTCCAAGCCAAAAACTATCAAGAAATATATCAAACATAGTTGTATCACTCTCTACATCTTGCTCTACATATGCCTTATTTACTACAGCAATTATCACCGTTTTGTTTCCCATTGAGGCTTTGGCCAAAGCAGAATCAAGGGCATCTCCATGTGCTTCAATATTGGTGGTGCTGGTGGTCTATTATGCACCCATTAAAAGGAAAAAATAAAATCATATAAGAAAAATTATCAAAAAAAAATCCATACAAACACTATCCATGACCTACTTGATCAAGATTACTTTTTGATTACGAAACTAATTTTTAGGCAGATTATAAAGAATACCCATGATTTGTTTTGATGAAAAAATAGAATATGAGTGATTTGAACTTACAAAATTGGATTGTTTGCAGAGTAGTTCTTTCTGGGTTAGGAGTAATTCGTTGGAGAAAGAAGAGGACCAGTGATACATCAAAATAACTCCAACGAAGAGTAATGTCACCGTTGCCATACTCCCAAATATGTGTTTGGGGTTATCCATGATCATCTATCTCTTGCCTTTTTGTGAAGGCACAAAACCAAAATTGAAAATCAAATATTGGTGCTTTGTGACTAAAGGTATATATGGCTATGGTAGAATGATCATATATTAAGGAAGTGGAGAAAAGTATTTACTTTCTTCTTTTTCAACATTGGTAGTTTGAGAATGGTAATGGATTAGAATTAAGATAAAAGAAATCGATCGTGTGCGTTGAATTCGCTTACAATTTCAAAACATGATTTCGTGTTAATAAGAATATTCTTTGCAGTTGATGGAAATTGGATACAGTGCTATTTTTTTAAAAAAATAAAATGAATCACTCTTTCGGTTATTTTAGGTATTTGGTTTCCAATTTTAATCATATTTTTAGACTTTTCACCGTTCATTTAAAACAGAAATATAATATAAATAATTATATAAATATTATTAATACTAGAAGAAGAAAAAAAACACTTCGTACCTTGCTAATATTGTGAGATGTGAAAGTTACAAAGTAATTATGATACAATTTATTTTTAGGAAGCAATAATTTTTATTTGAATTAATAAAGTAAAATTGAATTACCTTCCACTAAAAAAAAATTATGCCACCAAAATGATAAATTACCTTTATAATTGTTATAGAATAAACCAAATGTCGCTAAGAATTTGACATTTGTATTTTTTAATTAAAGATCAAGTTCAATATCTCTTGAGCATGGAGTGACAACCTATCACTTTATTCTTATATATGCACCAACATGGTAGGAGGAAGTTATAAAAAAAAATTGAATATATATATATATATATATATATATATATATATATATATATATATAGTTGTACTTGACTTTTGTTTACGAAGACAATTTTTTTTATCAATTAAATTATATTTTTAGTTTTTTTATTTATTTTTAAGATTTAATTGAGTTTACATGATTTAATTTGATCTTTTAATTTTTTTAGAAATGTTTTATATTATCTTTTTACTAATTATCAATAACAAATTAATAAAATCTAATAAAAAGATAATATTGAAAATTGTTTGGAAATTTGATGAACAAATTGAATCATTTAAAATATTTAATTTAATTTCACTATTTTTAAAATATTTAATTTTAATATCAATTTGGACGAAAAGATAATAAAAAATTTTTTTAAAAAAATTAAATGATTAAATTAAACTTTTTAAAAATAATGAGACTAAATTAACTTTTAAAAATAAATAGAGAACGGTATAATTTAACTTTTTTTAATATGGAAAAGTTTTTTATATTAATAATTCAATTGCGTAGATTATCAATTTTAGTTTGATGTATGATGGTTTCGATTATATTGCTAAACTTTTGACCATTTATCTTAAAATATGCAGAGAAATATAAATAATGATATAAATATTGTAATCATATAAAAACAATAATTATAATGATAAAATTTTGACGAATGGCAAAGCCACCGTTTATGACGAGACAAATTGTATTTTTTAATTCGAAGCAAATTTCTATTCATAGTTCAATTACGTAGAGTATCCATTTTAGTATATGTAAAATGTTTATTATATATACTAGTGGGGTGTGACACTTTTCTACTTTAAATATTGTAAATAAAGATTTTGAAATAAAGGGTATAATTTTGAAGATATTATAAGATATTTCATTATAATTCTAAAGAAAAGGATTCACAATTCTTTTAATAAAACTCTTTAATAATAGATAATTAATTAATAGTATAATTTTAAAAGAAGATATTAATTGTCTTATATGTAAAACTTTCTAAAAACAAGTCATAAAATATCATAGATGATAATATAAACTTAATTTATAAGATAGAATTCATAAAATTCTTAGGGCAAGTGTGACATTTCCTATCACATTCATCAATACTATAATATTTATAAATAAATTTTAATTACTCTAAAGAAAATTTTAATATAAAACAAAAACATTCATAAAACATTTTTATGGATAAAGAAGTTAAATCTGTCCAAACTTGAAAATATATATTTAAGTAAAAGAAATATAAAATTTAATAAATAACTTCATGATTAATGAGAAACTATAATACAATTATAAAAATAATTACATGATATGTATAATAAAGAACTCTAAGTAATAAAGATCTCAATCTAAAGACTCCCAATGTCACATCCTATCATAGTTTGACTCATAGCACATGACAAGGCACATACCTTTTTACTAACATCATCTTTATGATGATCCTTACTTGCAAAACACACCTATAAACACAATAACAAAGAAGAATGAGAAACTTCTTACTCTAACTATCGATGTGAGATATAACTAAGTAGTCACACACATCAACCACAACATAAGCACAAGTACATGTAACAAGAGTATTAAAATATAAGTAAAACAGTATAACTTCAATTAATAGCAATAACACACCATCACAAGCATACACAATCACATCTCATTCACTCAATGTAGTGGACATAAACTCATATAGATCTATATGCATGTGGAGTCAAGGATCTCATAACATGTAGTCCGAAGGCTAATCCCTTGTGGCCCGAAGGATTATTCATGGTTCGAAGGCAAATACTCATGGTCTGAAGGTGATTACTCATGGCCTAAATATGCTCATGCTCATGATGCATGCTTCATATACAAGACTCTATGCAACACTTTACTTCATGGATTCAACTCATACTCTTCTCATTCACTTAACACATCATCTTAATGTCAATCTCATGCATATACATCATCATCTTTTATTTCTCATATCACACATTATTATCGCTTACATTTCATCATTCATTAATGTTTCGAATGTTGCACTTAACATTCTCAAGTCAAACATCAATATCCCATCACATTCATTACGCATTACCATGTCATATCACATCATGTGTAATCATTTTCTATCACATAAATTTCTCATGGCACATACAAATATTTCATATGCACATCACATAGAAACATCTCATATTGCATATAGACACAAAGCCTCAAGCACAAGATATCACAAACATAATTTGTATCTTCATCATAACTCATTCACAAATATCCCCTCTCATTTTTCTCATTGTTAACCATTGATATAAGTTTCCAAACCATCTCCAAGATTAAACACTTAAAGGATAAAACAACTCACTATTACAACTCTTAAAAGGCCTTTTCTTATCTTAAGCTCCTACAACATTTTGGGGGTCTAAACACAATATATGGAGTTAAACTTATAATAACAAGTTAACATCAATTTTATTAGAAATATAATACAATTTACAACTTCTATATTGACCTCAAGAGCTTATTTTACCATTTACTATGCTTAAAATTACAAAATCACAACATTTTAGTATAAACCTGAGAAATTAACCTTTGCTCATTAAAATGATTATAACTTAAGTTCTAGATCTTCTTATTTTCTTTATTATTTGATATATTTTTACAGTTTAATTTTAAAAATAGTTAATTGAAGAATATAATATTATCCATGTCAGTATGATTTTAATATATTTTATGGACAAACTTGTACAACTTATTTACCTAACTACATAAAGTATGGTGTGTTTACATTTTGTATGATATTATGCATTCTTCAATTAAAGGTTTTTTACTAGAAGTAGAGTGACCATTTTTTGTGACATTACAATAATTCATAAATATGAATTTTATTTTTGTCTAAGAGTGTGTTTGTTTCATAGATTAAAAACTCATTCATGAGAATATGAACTTAAGAATGTTATTATATTCTCATGTTTGTTTGGAATTTTAAAATGATATTTTGGAGTATTATTTATTCCTAGAAAAGTTGTTACAACATAAACAAAATTTTGCGTTGTATTTATTCTTTGGTACACAATTTCATCTTATTGTTTTATTCTCATTTAATGTAAAAATATTTAAACAACACTTATTTCACAAATAATTAGTAAAAGAAAACTCTTGTACTTATGCATGGGTTACTTATTAGTTAATATCTAAAATCAATTCCTAGGTAAATATTATTAGTATTGTCACTAAAGAAAGAAGAGAATAAAAAATATAAAAAAATAAAAGAAGAAAATATTGAAAAAAATGTGAAGAGTTTGAAGAGTGGATTTAGATAAAAAGATATTGAAAATATTATTAGTATTGTCACTAGAAAGGGGTTGAATAGTATATATAAAAAATTCAAACGTTTTCAAGTGTGTGAAGTAGTATCTTCAATAGACGAAGTGTCAGTAAGAGTAATCAATGAGCACATAATGCTTTTATACTGGTTCACCCTTGCTATCGAGACTACGTCAAATTCTCAATCTAACCAGATTGAGTTCCACTAACTTTCAGCAAAATTACAAGTATTCTTTTACCAAGTCACTTTTAACTCAAACAAGTATTCTTTGACTGACCTCTTTAAGTCACTACCCAAGTATAAGTCTTTCCAAACTCAACCTCAAGTATTCTTTTACAGTCAAACATATCTCTAAACTCTACCCTATAACAATGATTATGAAGGTATATTACAAGGTAGTAGTTGTCGTCTCTTTTAGAGGTGATTACAACAAATTGTTTTAGTAAAGAAACTCTCGAAGAAGATGTTCTAAGAGACGTGTATTGTATCTCAAGATTTTTCTATATTTACACTTCTGTTCTCTATAGCTCTTGTTATCTTCTCTTGAGTCCTAAAGGTTCTTATAGTAGCTTTGGAAGAGTTGATCGTTACAACTTCTTAAGTCTCATACATAAAACTATTTCGTTTTTCTCCTGATCTAAAGAGAGAAGAAGTATCCGTTAATGCATTAAATACTTTAATTAATGTCTTTCACTTAAATGTATTCCTTATTTTTGATAGTCCAAGTTACTTATCAGAGTAGAGTAGCAAAGCAGGAATAGTAGGAATCAAAGTGAGCGTGTAGGCGAGAAGGTAGTCCTTTTTCAACGCCTTTTATATGAAATCCAAGATCTTTGACCTTTTCTCTGCTACTCTTCATACTTTTATACACTTTTAACAGAATGTGAGTTTTAAGACAACAAATTTCAATCTATTAAGATATAAAATATTCACTTAAACAATTAAAATTTGCAATCAATAAATAATGATCGTTAGAAACAATTTGTATATTTTATCTGATTTACTTTGTCTTACACAGTCTGAAACAACAACTTTAGAACTTTTTTTTTACTAAAGAATGTAGTGTTTGTTATCATTAAAATTTATCAAACATGAATGATCTAAGATCATCTTTTAACTTAATAGGAAAGTCTATACACATAAAGAAGAGAAATGGAAAATGTGTGAAGAAAGAAATAACATATTAAAGATAGATAATGTGTGATAATAGAAAATATAGTTATTGCAAAAATAAATTAAGCATAAATTAAATAGTTAGTTTATCTCCTATTGTAATTGACATTGAAAAGTTTAATATTTTAAAAAATTATATATAAACAAAAAATAGTTGTACAATACAACTGTTATCCTTTCATTAACAATTTATTTTGTTAAATATTATCACATTTTGTTCAATTTTGAGTTTCATCATTTATCTCAAAATTTAAGAATTTTTTTAACATTGTGTGATCTTGAAAATCATTCCAATATTAAAATACTTTTAAGCTTTTTGGCAAATATAATAAGTTTTAGATTGTTTGATTAAAAAAAGCTAGAATATTTTTAATAAACATATATTTGTGTTTTATTATTCTTTAGAGAAATCTTAAATTTAATTTTAAAAATAATAAAAAATATTACTCTATCTACACACCATTTCCTTTATATTGGACATATACACGCACTAATTAATTAGTCAAACAAAAACAATACAATTATTTCACTTATTTGTGAATTTCAGCTTAAACCGTCTTCATTTTCGCCTTCTCTGCAAGCTAATTATGGAGCTATAATTATTAAATCCGTAGCTGTACCTGGTGATGTTTACAATATGTGTCGCAATTACACAGCTAAATCCAAACTATGTCTTGGAAAGTTGCTATGTTTTAAAAATAGATATGTATGCTTTGTAATGTCACAGTTCCAACTCTTTGCAAGTTAGCTTTACTAACAACCAAACTAATTCTGATTTAGACTCAATCTTAAGTACAGAAGTTTCCATATCATCACCCCTAAATAAGGAACCAAATTAAGGGCTTAAACTATTCAATTCCCGTTTGATTTGCTGTCGCAACATAATTCAACCTTCTTCAGCAAATGCTTTATTATACTCTTTCTCCTCCACCTCCTTACAAAACCCTCACAATTTCTTTTCTTTCCAAAGCATTCAAGCAAAAAAGGACCCTCAAGATTTCATGACTAACGTTTTGGCATGTTATCAACTCCTAGAACTCAATGTCATATCCGCACAAGACTTGGCTCCGGTGGGTCGTTCCATGCGAACTTATGCAGTCGCATGGATCGACCCAGACCGCAAGCTTTCCACTCGGGTTGATTCCCATGGCGGAACCAACCCGGCTTGGAATGACAAGTTTGTTTTTCGAGTTGACGAGGACTTTTTGTACGATGAGGAGTCAGCAATTACTATTGACATTTATGCCCTTCATTGGTTCCGAGACATCCACGTGGGCACGGCCCACGTGCTCCCCGGTGACATCTTCCCACAACCATCACAACCCAATAGAAATGCCAACAAGCCCATGGGTTTGCGGTTTATGGGGCTCCAAGTTGAAAGGCCCTCGGGTCGCCCGAAAGGGATTTTAAATGTTGGCGCAGCTATAATTGACAGCTCCAAGCGAAGCATGCCTCTCTACACACATGACCCCCCAACCGTTGGATACAGTCATGATGATCACAATCAGCTGAGGCATCAAACCAAGCCAGAGATTCGGCGCACAAAGAGTGCCTCCAGCTCAATGCTGGGCTCGGAAGCCATAGCTCCTCAGTACCAAGCCAAGGCTAAAAAGGGAAAACCAAGTTCCCAAGTTACCTCTTCCGAAATAAGCACCAAGAGTAAAAGGAAGGCTTCTAGCTCCATGTTGAGTGCCTCTTTTTCGAAGGCAACCCCAAGGAAGGGCAAATTGGGTAAGAAGGAGACAAAGATAACATCTCATGACTCCCCAAACAACTTCAATGTTGATTACCATGTAAAGTCCACACCAAACCGAGAATTTCAAAACTCTTCCACTTTGCGAGAGTTTCAAAACTCACCTGCACGAAAGTTTCAAAACTCTCCTATTATACCAGAGTTTCAAAATTCACCGGGTGAATTTCAAAACTCTCCTATTAAGCGTGAGTCTCATAATTCTCCCGCTAAACGGGAGTTTCAAAACTCGCCAATGCGAGAGTTTCAAAACACTCCAATTAAGCGGGAATTTCAGAATTCGCCAATGCGGGAGTTTCAAAACTCTCCAGCTAAGCGAGAATTTCAAAACTCACCGATGCGAGAGTTTCAGAACTCTCCAATTAAACGGGAGTTTCAGAACTCGCCAATGCGAGAGTTTCAAAACTCTCCGACTAAGCGAGAGTTTCAAAACACTCCAGTTAAGCGAGAGTTTCAAAATTCACCAATGCGGGAGTTTCAGAACGCTCCAATTAAGCGGGAGTTTCAGGACTCGCCAATGCGAGAGTTTCAAAACTCTCCAACTATGACGAGAACTTATAACAACAATGATAATGCATATAAAGGTGGTGTGAGAGCAACTCCATTGCGCACGTTTGTAGTAACAAACGCGGCATTGGAGTATGGCACTCCATACCGATCAAACTTAGGTCGTCGTCCCATGATGACGAACTCAGAATTGGGTCCGTCAGCCTCAGAGGTGGCAGCAATTATGGCGAGAATACCAATGGAGGAGGAGAATTCTGAGGTGGAAGGGTGGAGCTTTGACGAGAGCGTGGAGGGGTCGCATCCTAAAGTGAATAGGTGGAAGGCGGAGCTGTCGCCGGAGTATGACGATGGTGAGAGGTCGAACTTGTCGGCCTCAAGCAAGAAAGGGAAGCATTCACGTAAGCAAGCCGATGGAGGGTTGTTCTCATGCTTTAGTGTTATATGTGGTGTTGAGTGCTCCATTGTTTGTGGTGGCGGCGCCGGTAAGAAGAGCCGGCGCCGCCGGGTTGAGTCCGTGGTGGACAATGAAAGCTTTCTATAAGAGAAGACATATTGGGTTGCAATTGCATGCATGCATGCATGGCCGGTTCGACGTGAAGATAGAAAATAATAATGTGGGAACTGACTAAACTCTCTTGTTCTTTAATGTTTATAATTTTAAGCTCATTCTTTTGTACTCCCTTTGTCTTCCTAATGAAATTCTGATTCCCTTTCCGATCATATGATTTTTATTTGTTCATGGCTGTGGATTTGTTGAATGCGTTTAATTTTAGATTGAGGATGGTGGAAATGATGACAAACAAGAGTTGATTAGTCACAATAAGCAACTTTTTTCACTTATAAAAGAAATTCAGATATTCATTCTTATAACTTTCATACAAAGTTGCTAACAAAGTATATTACATTCATTTTTGGATTATTCGTTTTGTAGGAAACTAATAGCTTTCATATTTGAATTGATCCGAGCTTTTGTAATAGAGGATGGTTCATTATATGATGTAACTTAAGAAGAGGATGCTTCATTGAAAATGTAAAATAATGAGTTAATTTAAATTGACAGATAATATAAAAATATTTTATATATTAATTTGAATTAATGAAAAAAAGAATTAAATGAGTTTTAAATTTTTAAAAAAAATTTCAGATTTAATCTATACATTAAAAATTTTAAATTCAACGGTTGAATCGTTAAAATTTGACGTAGAATATGAATTATTGAACGGAGTAAGTTTAGATAGATTTATTCCTAGAATAAATAGATCCCTCCTCATATATATATATATAGGGGTTATAATTACATCGATGTAACTTTTACTAAGTATTACGCCGCTCAATAATAATTTCATATTAAATGTGAATTTTGTAAATCCAACTGTTAGATTGAAAATTCATATCACTTTATAGGTGTATATCAAATTTTGTTAAAATTGAACAACAACTTGAAGGTAATCAAATTTGTTCATATTTAAGTATATTTTAAAATGTATATATTACGTCAATTTTGTTTTATAAGAATGAAGTATCAAATATATATATATATATATATATATATATATATGTAGAGGAGGGTTATAATAACACCGGTTTAACTTTTACTAAGTATTACACCGCTTAATAACCTTATATTAAATGTGAATTTTGTAAATCTAACCGTTAGATTGAAAGTTCTTTACTCTTGGATCATATATACAAAATCTTATATTAATCTAAGATGATTTGATACTTCATTCTTATAAAACAAAATTGACGTAATATATACATTTTAAAATACACTAAAACATGAACAATTTGATTACCTTCAAGTTGTTGTTCAATTTTAACAAAATTTGATATACATGTAAAGTGATATGAACTTTTAATCTAACGGTTAGATTTACATTATGTATACACTTTTTTGATTCAGTGGTTGATTTATTGTTATTTGTATGTATATATATATATATATATATATCTTATGACTTTATTAGATCTCATATTTTCCCATCGTACTTAAGTAATATTTAAGTAACTCCCTATACTTTTAGTCCAATGGTAAAATTTTAAACAATTTATAAGATACTCTATATTCTTACCAAGATCAAGTCAGTTTCCTTGTTCATCTCTTTGATCTTGGTCTTTGAAGTTGGTCTTTGTTCTTTTCAGTGTCTTCGATGTACCTGCAAAAGGGACTCCGACAATCAAGTTAGTTGTTTGATGTATCTCATTCATCATCTATATAATTACTTGTCTTGTGTCATTTTTTCGATGTAATCACTATAGCTGTTACTTTTGGAGGATTAGTAGCAGTTAAGTTGGTCATTCTCATGACGAGTTATGTGTCCGATGTCATTAGTGTGCCGAGGTGTGTCACAGATACCCTATGTTCACTCTGATATTTCTATTCTAAGACCACCTCGGCGTTCTCTGTTCTCACTCTCCAAGTTGAGCTATTAACCATACTTGATTATATCATAAGCTCGATTTTACATGTTATGTTGGTACTATATCATGATCTCAGTCCTATAGGTCAAATTGGTACACTCTCATTTTTATATATATTTTTATTTGTACATAGTTTTGTTTGATGATTGGACTCGGAAACAATTTCTTATGTTAAGCTCGTGCAACTTATAAGATACGGTGTTTAAAATTAAATAACTCAAGTTGTCACTTAGGTTGTCTCTAATGAAGGCACTACAAAAAATGTTACATGTAGTGATATATAAAAAGTGTCACTATAGGTACACTATATATTGGTATATATCTATTTGACATATAGTTATATACAATTTTAGTTTTGATTTTGAATAAGATTTAACAATATATTTTGTATGTCAGTATAGCTTATACCCACACTTTTTAACAATATACCAAAATATAGTATATTTATTGGGTGGATAAAAGTAATTTTTAGTGATATGTATTGTATCAATATAGAATGTGTGTTAAGATACACTATCTCAAGTTTATGATACACTAAAAATATCCTCACTGTAGATGTTCTAAGGTTTGGATAATTTTTTTTATTTTTTTATTCCTGAAAGATATCGTGCTTAACAAGTTTCTTAAAGTTCTTAAGACTAAGTATTTTTTTTCAAATGAAAAAAAATCCAAAACAAAATAAAAAGATTTTAGATTAAAGTGTTATTTTGCTTCTCAACTTTGATTATATGGTATTGTCATAGTAATCTCTCGCGTATAAAAAATGATAAATATAATCTTCAACTTTTCTTTTTGTTACTCATTTTGGTTCCTAGTGTCACCCAAATGTTAGTCTACATAAATGAACATTAAAAGACACATCATTAAAAACAAAAAGGACACTACAATATGTGACAAAATGACATGAAAGGACTATTTAAATAAATATTATCATTTTAGTCTCTAACATATACAAATTATTGTCATTTTAGTCCGTAAATAATTTTAAAATTTTGCAAGAAATGAAACTTGGATCCTAATCCCTTAAGTAATTAAAACAACTTACTACCATGTTCATTTAATCAATAACTTATAAATTTTATTTATATATGATATCTTGAAGATAAATTATTTAAAATTCATTGAACCTCTAAACCCATTTATATATGATAACATGTATTTAAATATATATATATATATATATATATATATATATTAGTTTAAAAATATATATATAACTCACAAAATAATCAAATTATAAATGGGAAGATAATATTGTCATTTTAGTTTATTAATCTAATGGTCTTCAAAAATAATTATATTTGTAAAGGTAAAAAAAAATTGATTTGATTTTTAGTTTTCTTTTCAAGTTTCTTATTGACAATTATCAATATTTTATTATATTTAATTTCATGAACTGTTTGAATTGTGAAAGAAATGATAAGAACATATTTGTTTGATTTTTCTATTTTTTCAAAATTTAAAAACAATATAATATATATTGGAACTTGGAAAGAATAAAAAAATATATATAATATTTGAGAAGTATAGTTAGTAATTATTTAGTGTTTATGATTGTTAATATTTTGTGATTTTGATCTATTCTAATATTCACACTATTAAATAATGAAATATATTTATTTTAAATTAGATTGACAACGTGAAAAGGTTTTTCTTTGTACACCCCAACAGTAGAAAGTCAAATAAGGAAATAAATTTAATATCTAATTAAGATAAAAATAAATTAATAAATGTCAAAGTTAGAAGAGTAAAATATTCAACATTGATTTAATTACAATTTGATTAGTAGAAATTAAATAATTCTTTTTAATCTACTAATATATATAAAGGGGTTTACACACATAACAAAAGATATATATAATTTGTAACTTATTCATTAAATAAACTTGGTAGTTTAATAGTTGATGTTTTAAGTTTTAACTACTTAACACAGACAAATATATATAATTTGTAACTTATTCACTAAATAAGCAGAATGATTTGGTGGTTAAAATTGTTTTAACTATTTAAGAGATTTGGATTCAAGTTCTACTAATCAAATTGTAAGAGGACCTCCACTGGAGGGTGCTTATGCTGTAGCTTAAAAATAAGAATCGGTGCTTACAAGAAACTCCAATGGAGTCATCCTACGTGGCAAGAGGAGATCTTAATTTTTTGGCAGAGTTGCTTGAAGAAGCAATAGAGCTTAATTCTATGAAGTGTAGAAATGAAGACTTTTGATTGGTTCTTCCAGAAACAAAAGATTCATAAAAAAAAAAAAAACGTCTGCTTCTCCCTCCCTCCGTCAGTCGTGCGGATCTCCGGTCGAGTGGTCCAACAAGGCTCGCGCAGACCTCCGGGCCGCACGTTCTCCGTGCCGCACGTTCTCCTCTGCCGCGCTCGCAGACTTCCGGGCCAAGCGACCTCCGGCCAGTCGCTCGTTCTCCTCTACCGCGCACAACGACCTCCGGCCAACTGCGCATTGAGGTGAGGGTGAGAGAGAGGGGAAGAGCAAGTCAAAGACTTTTTGTGAGAGGAGAGAAAGTGAGACGTGAGAAGAGAAAATGAATAAAAATTTATATTAAAATATAGTGTGAAATGTCAAAAAGTGTAGTATAAGGTATAAAAAAGTAGGGGTGCTTATAAATAATTTTCATTAGAGCAAAAATTATAAAAATATAATATGAATTACTTATGAATGACGTAACATAGTGAAACCCATTTAAAGTGGCTGGAAGTTGTTTATAAGCAACTCCCATCGTATAAGCTCTAAGTAAACACGATGATTTAGTTAGTCCCTAATGACGTATCATGTATTTTTCATCCACGTGGACTGACACGTAATGTTATGTCACGTAATGTATCGATCATAAGTTAACTGATAGTGTTAACTTTTGGATAATTACAGAAACCAAAATGAGTAATAGAAACCTAAAGATTAAGGGAGCAGCGATACCCTCAAAGATTGAGGAATTTTAATACATTCTTCTATGTAAACTCATAAAAGATCTAAAAAAAAACTAATTTAATTATAAAATGAATAATTCAAATTATATTTATAAAATGAAAAGTAAGATAAAATTGTAAAAATTAAAATTATAAAATTTCAATAATGTTATAAAACATTAAAAAAGAAAAAAA